AGCTGTAAGAGGTACTACAGCTGTAAGAGGTACTACAGCTGTAAGAGGTACTACAGCTGTAAGAGGTACTACAGCTGTAAGAGGTACTACAGCTGTAAGACGTACTACAGCTGTAAGACTTACTACAGCTGTAAGACTTACTACAGCTGTAAGACGTACTACAGCTGTAAGACTTACTACAGCTGTAAGACTTACAACAGCTGTAAGACTTACTACAGCTGTAGTACATCTTACAGCTCTAAGACGTACTACGGCTGGAAGACGTACTACAACTGGAAGACGTACTACAGCTGTAAGACTTACTACAGCTGTAAGACGTACTACAGCTGTAGTATGTCTTGCAGCTCTAAGATGTAATACAGCTGTAAGACTTACTACAGCTGTAAGACGTACTACAGCTGTAGTACGTCTTACAGCTCTAAGACGTACTACGGCTGGAAGACGTACTACAGCTGGAAGACGTACTACAGCTGTAAGACGTACTACAGCTGTAAGACGTACTACAGCTGTAAGACGTACAGCTGTAAGACGTACTACAGCTGTAAGACGTACTACAACTGTAAAATGTACTACAACTGTAAGACGTACTACAACTGTAAGATGTACTACAGCTGGTAGACGTCCTACAGCTTAAAAATGTAATACAGCTGTAAGACGTACTACATTGTTCCACTTCTCACACTTAAAAGTRCTCATTAAAATACTTAATTTAGAGTTTTAATACTGTTAAAAGTACGTTAATAATTAAATGCATTAATAAAGTTTTTCAAAGTCCAGATATTTGATACAAAACCCAAAATATTTTGTGGATTTTATTGAAAAGTTAAGATAAAAAAGAAGAGTTTCAGCTCATTTTAATGTTATTTTCTAATATTTTTGCATATGTTAACATTTAAAAATAAATATTTTTAATATTTTCTGTTTACTGGTCACAAGTCTTTAAAAAAAAAAACAGAGTCCAATCCCCCCCCCAGCCGTCAGGGTTCTGTTGTCTCCGGTTTGGCACTCACCTGGTTCTGACTCCTAATCCTGTTGAGGTTTTTGGGGGAGAGTTATGTAAGACTCAGAGCTGACCCTGAATGCCAAATACATCGTGGATCCCAGGAGGGAGCAGAGAAGTGAGTAGAGACCGAATATTCWTGAAGATTAACTTTAGTTTTTCCTCTCTGCAGTTTTAATGTGGGATTAAAGGGCCAATCCACCTTAAATTAAAGACATATCATTTATAAAGAATGCGTATCACTCGCTAACTTTCATGTAGACTTTTAAACAGATTGGTTATCTATGATTTCTTAACATTCAGATTACGTTATGGATTACTCCCAGCTACTACCACCTCAAGTTTCAGCACAATGTCTGTAAAACTGACYGGGTTAAAGCCATGTTTATGTTGGCTAAGTTTCATTAGTTGGGGCGGAAATCTTAAATTGGAATGACTCCAAAATCCAATCACATGTCCACCCAATAATGACTTCCTGGAAGTTTCATTAAAATCTATCCACTAGTCCACGAGATATTTTGCTATCAGACAAGGTTGACACCAGTAGTTGATGTTCAGTTTTTAGCAAAAGYATTTCACCATGAGTAGTACTCAGATTATGTTTTGTGAATTACTATCAGCTAAAACTACTTAAAATTTTAGCTCATTATCTGTTCAATTTAATGATTTATGATCGTTTTTGTGTTTCCAAAAATAATTTGGCTGTGCATGCCATCTTATATTGGACCAACTCCAAAAGTTAATCAGTTGTACAAATATATTGAAGGATTATTTCCTGGAAGTTAAATTAAAATCCATCCAGTGGTTTTTGAGATATTTTGCTAACAGACAAACACATCATAATAGTATTCATATTCAGCAGTTTTAAAACAAACTCCCATCATGTCACGACCTTCCAGGCTGGTTTTGGTCTGACCGGACCGGTGACCCCGTTCCCCGCCTCGCTGCTGCGGTTCTGTCCCCACACGAAACGCGCCTCATATTCAAGGGAAAACCCGCTGTAGACTCACCAGACCCGGCTGTGAGCAGAGACGAACCCCGGTGGTGAAATGTGGATCAGGTGGAGGAAAAGTTGTCGGCTCCTCGGATCAGATGCTGCGTCTTCACGGWCGGATCCAGGCAGCTGGATGAGTCCTGCTGGGACGAACCGACCTGCAGCTCTGACTCAGATGAATGGATCCTGAAAACACCGGGTCTGTGGAAATATACGGAGCGGAGCTGYAGGAGTTATAGGCTGCTGCTGTGTGCCGCTGCACAGAAACACAGAGGGACGACGACATCTGGTGGCTGGAAGCTGTATGACAGGCTGAAGGAAAACTTGAGTTCTTAGTCAGAACTTAGACCATTGTTTCTGTGGAGCCCAGCCGGTGACATTGTATAATCAAAATAATGCATGGCCACAAAATAATTTATGCAATCATTTCAATGCAGAGACTGGTAATTGTAAACATGGGCAATTTTGAATAAATATATTTTATTTTATTGTTATTATAGCGTTATTATTTTATTGTTATTATAGCGTTATTATATTGTGGCATTAATTTTCTTCCCAGTGTCTCCAGAGGGGCTCCCTACTATTTTAACATTAAAACAATCTGCTAAACATTCAGAAATTTACAGCTTTGAGATAGTTTGCAGCTAGTTTGACTAACTGCCTTCAAAAGATTAGCAGCTAAATTCAGTACATTCTGAAAGTTAACAGCTAAATTTAGCTAACTACTTTAACATGGTTAGCAGCTAGATTAGGCTAACTGCATTCAGATGTTTAGCAACTAAATTTTGCTAACTGCCTTAAAAATGATTTGCAGCTACATTTAGCTTGATGTTTGCAGCTAAATTCAGCTAACTGTCTTGAAATAGTCTGCAGCTAAATTCAGCTAACTGTCTTGAGATGTTTGCAGCTAAATTCAGCTAATTGTCTTGAAATAGTCTGCAGCTAAATTCAGCTAATTGTCTTGAAATAGTCTGCAGCTAAATTCAGCTAACTGTCTTGAAATAGTCTGCAGCTAAATTCAGCTAGTTGTCTTGAAATAGTTTGCAGCTAAATTCAGCTAACTGTCTTGAAATAGTCTGCAGCTAAATTCAGCTAACTGTCTTGAGATGTTTGAAACTAAATTCAGCTAACTGTCTTGAGAAGTTTGCAGCTAAATTCAGCTAAATGTCTTGAGATGTTTGCAGCTAAATTCAGCTAAATGTCTTGAAATAGTCTGCAGCTAAATTCAGCTAACTATCTTGAGATGTTTGCAGCTAAATTTAGCTAACTGTCTTGAGAT